GTGTTTTTACTTTTTTCCCCCAGAATGTCTTATAGTTGAAATCATATAGATACAGCCTTATTATTAGTTTACCAAAAAAGTCACTACTCATATACCAGATGTTGTTTGGAAAAGGAGTATGCTTCTAATGAGTATCAGGTGTTGTGGAAGTGTTGAATCGCTAAATTGTACACCTGAAAATGCTATACTGTATGTTAACTGGAGTTTAAATAAAAAATTTAAAAAATGGACCACAAACACAGTGATCATGATATGGAGTAAGGTTAAACTGAGTTATAAAAAATTGTTCTTAATGGGTGTCACCAAAGCAAACATTTTGTAAGTTCCTAGATCTGTTTTTCTGTTGCTGAATGTGTGAAATTAAAGAGCTCTGTGAGAAGAAACAACTGAAGAGACCTAGGGTTGGGGTGATGGAATATACCACAATAAGAGGCTACAGTCTGTCAAATAAGATACATTGACAAGGGGAGTGCATATCTCAACCCTAAGTGCTGCTTGAATGGAGATTCAGTTTTAACATTTCCTAAGTGGACCTGGCCAAAGAGGTGTTGGATTAGATGTTGGAAGACAAGCTACAATTTTCTGACCATGCTGGTACCTTGGCACAGTAGTGAGTCTCCTATAAGAACTATCCAAGTGATATGGAGGAGACATTTCACTCATTCCCACAAATGTGCTGTATCATCTTCCTATGCACCTGAAAAAAAAAACCAAAAAAAACTTAGAGCATATGTGAAAGCTGCTGAATACTCTTGGATCGCCAAAAATACATTGGGCAATATGACAGAGTGTTCTACTCATTTGAAGTTAGAGTTATTGAAAGACTTTTGGCTTGTTGACAGGTACCATACAATTCACTGGAAGGCTTATCCATAAAAATTTTACATAAACAAAAGTTGAGAACCCAGGTGTTTCTCATCTATTATTATCCAGGAATTAGGTAATTTCAATTTTCCCTGTGGTATCTCTCCTTCATAACATATCCCAAAGCCAGGGCTGTCCTGGTTCTACAGGTGATGTGATGCATCAGGGAGATGAGCTGAGGACATCTCTTCTCTATAACCATTTCATGTGCTCCTATCTTCTATCTTCATCTTCTATGAACAGATTCACTCTAAAGTCTCACCTGAGTGTTTCTTAGCTTCATTATCAGTGAGTGCTCAAGAGTAAAATGGGGGGTGAGATGAGGTAGGATTAATTTCTTGAAGTCCTAGAATTCCCTTTCCATAGTCTCAGTCTTTTATTGAATTATAACTACCAGCTGTTGATGTATCCAGATTAAAGGTAAATTTAATTAATATTTTTAGAATATAAAGTTATAGATTTATGGAATAATGTTTGTAGTTTACTGATGTTTAATTTAAATTTGAATGCTTTTTAGTTTTTCTCACTTTCCTTGCTTATGCTTTTCCCCAGGATTGCTGAGAATTATATGTCTTTAAAATATGATATCTTTGTCAGCAAGCGTTGTGTTTTCATCTGCACTCCACACTCATTTCAATTGCCAAAGAACAGTAGATACTTTTCAGTTACTCAATGGTATTTGACGATTAAAATACTCATTATTTTGGCATTTTTAGCTTTTGCAGAAATATTTTCATCTATGCAAAACGTTTTTTTTTTACTTTTTGAAATTGCCAATTCTGTTTCTCATGTTGCCACTACCACCACTGAACCAACCAACTTACCTGCACCTTGTCACTTGTAAATTTCATGACTTTATGCTGTCAATAACTAGCTTTGGGTTCTGCAATGATTTTGCAGAGAATATGTAAAATTAATGAGTATATGATGCTACTGAGTAATTCAATAATAAAACAGAAGAAAGCATGTGATTTCGTCATATACATTGTACATTGTGTGTGTGTGTGTGTGCGCGCGCGCGCACGCGTGTGTGTGAGATGGGAAAGAACTGTATGAATATTATATAATTTATTAAATAATACCGCTGTAAGTGAAAGATTTTTTTATAAAGATGAGAAAATAAATTTTGTAAAGCTTTATTTTCTCCTGGGGCGCCTGGGTGGCTCAGTCGGTTAAGCGTCAGACTTCGGTTCAGGTCATGATCTCACTATTTGTGGGTTCGAGCCCCGTGTTGAGCTCTGTGCTGAAGCCAGCTCAGAACGTGGAGCCTATTTTGGATTCTGTGTCTCCCTCTCTCTCTGACCCTCCCCTGCTCACTCACTGTCTCTCTCTCTCTCTGTCTCTCTTTCTCAGAAATAAACAAAACATTAAAAAAAAATTAAAAACTTTATTTTCTCCTAAATAACATATAATCTACTGAGAAATATCACTTGGGTTCTTGTAAATGACTTCTTCCTCTTATCACACCTAATTATTTCAAACATTTGATGTCAATCCAAATAACTTATCACTAGTGCTTTGTCCCAGGTTTATTTAATGGTGATAATTACCTACCATCATCTATGATTATGTACAGAATTTTTGGATTACAATATTGAAAAACATATTGAGAATAGCCTGAAGTGAAAACATAAAAATAAGGAGGAACTTCAGCTGGATTTTCTGTCTTCTGGGATTTCTCAGGGGTTTCACTCTTAGCCCCGGGAAAAGCTAGCTGTTTTTTCTTAGAGTTAGTGAGTGAGATGTGCATTTATATTTATACATTTAAAAGACTTGAATTGCACCACATGTTCCCCTCTACATTATCACCAGCCCATCAATTCTACGGATTTTTTCCACTTTTCATTTCTATTGATTATCCCATGTTTTTCAAATCCCAGGATTTTCTAAGGTAGTGTTGCCAGATTTACTGAATATAAACACAAGGTGTAGAGCAGTTTGAAACACAGAAAGACACCAATGACCTGTTTGTGCCCCTATGCAATATTTGCTCACTTGCATGTAATATGTGTATGCATTGTTGGGACATACACATACTAAAAAATATATTCATCGTTTGCCTGATAATCAAATTTAACTGACTGTCTTACATTTTATTGCTCACCTTGGATCTATGAGAAATAAGGTGCTTTTCTGTCTGGGCTCAGCACTAAAAACCTCAAGAATGCCAGTGGGGAAAAAAAAAACATTATTTTTTTTTCATTGAGCAGGAATACGGTTTTTTAATGTATAGCCATTAACACAAAGCTGGCATAAACTAGAAGTGACAAGCCATATATGCCATTAGCTAGTAAAATAAAACATTAAAATTTTTGTCTATGTCATTTTATTGAATGATTTTTATTATCTCTTTTTGGGATATGAGTTGTGATTACATGCTTTCTATTTTTAAAATTATTTATATATGCAGTTATTGAATAATTACACTTCTATATTAGTGGCAAACCTAAATGCTGTTTTGCTGTACCAGACAGTGACCCTAAAATTTGTATATCCTTGTGCCTTTAAGCCAATATCATCCTAGTCTTTAGAGGCCAACATGAGAGCAGAACCCGAGTGTTCTGTGGGTGCTGACATGTTTGTGGCAGCCATTAGTGACTGGGTTTGGGCACTGAAGATAAATTTGTCACATAATGGATTAAACATTTGGAAAAATAGTTATAGCCACTTAATCAAATATACCATTATTGCTTTATTAAATTACTTATATTAGGTGGTTATAGAGCAATATTTTACCTTGGCAATGTCATTCCAGGTCTGAGCCAAGAATACTAACTCCCAAAATTTCTTCAATGAAAACAAAAGGTGAGCTCTCTTTCTTTCAGAGAAATAAATAAATAAAATAATAAATAGTACATTAAAATTTTTAAGTCCTGAATCACATTAATTAGATAAAATAATTATGCATGCTTACAGGACAATTAACATGACAAAATAATTGAAAATTTATTCAGTAGCATTTTTTGAAGTGTTCTGATGTTGAAAATACTCTGGTCAGATCTTAGGAGAAGTATATACACACACATATGTATATATATATTATTGGTGTATTTTTAATGCATGAGAGGATACCTTTTTATTAAGTGAAGTCCCATAAAAGGAGCTCCATGTAAACATTTTGATACAATTTGTGGATATCCTAAACTGGATAATTGTGTGTTTGTTGTTTGTCCTTTTGCAAAATGAGAGCTGGTCTTCAGTAGTTCCCTAATGACATAAAAAGAGATTATAGAAGGAATCTCTGTGGTTGAAAATAAAGGGAAAGGAATTAGACTCCTTCAATCATGTTGAATAGATTTTGTTGATAGGAGTTATAAAAAATTAATTACTGCCATCTCCTAGGATGTCCACAACCAAATTGCCTTGTGAAACAATAGTTTATATGTCAGTGATAGAACAAAGGTTAATAATTATCTGATTTTAAGGTGAGATTATGCTGAATTATCAGGATAAGCCCAATGTAACTACAATGGGACCTAAATGTGGAAGGAGGAAGAAGAGTGTCACAGTTTGTAATGGAACTGGACATTATTTTTTCCAATTGTTTGATGGACAATTCCTTCCCCGTTTACATAAAATGTACAACAGTTCAACTACACAAGCACTTGTGGATTCTTTTATGGCTATTAGTATTCTTGGTGGTGAATATGAGACAGGATAATGTAGACCAGAAACTAAAAGAAATGCATGTACCATAGCAGTATGGGAAATGGGTACATTATCCTGGCATGAATTTGAATATGTTGTGTAAAATCTGTCTCTCCACCTCTCTGTCTTTGCCTTCTTTCTTTCTTTCTCTTTCTCTCCCTAGTTAAATGATATGTAAGTGATAGATAGATATAGAGATAGATTATACATAGAGAGAGAGATAGATAGGCAGATGATAGATAATAGATAGATGTCAGATAGTTATGTGTGTATATAAAATACACACACACTAAAATTGGTGTGCAAATAATGTTGAAACTGTATTTCTAAGAATTTGTACAACACAAATTTACTGATAAATTGGATGAAATAAATTTGAGTAAAATAAAAACTGATATGGTGATGAGTTTGGCAACAAAGTAAATGACATTGATGATATGAGGTCTATTTTTTTCAGATAAACAAAATGCTTTTCCTTGGCGACTATAATGATCACACCTTTCATTTACATTACTATTAAAATATGCCAATTTTTACAAGTAGGCATTGGAATCTCAGCTAACACAGTTCTCCTTGTCTTCCATATATTCACGCTCCTTCTGGATTACAGGCATAGGCCCACAGACCTGATCATCTGTCATTTGGCCCTTGTCCACATAATGAATCTATTCACTGTAGTGTTTATGATGTCTACAGACCTGTTTGAAGCTCTGAACTTTCTCAATGATTTCAAATGTAAGTCTTTATTCTGCATGACCCGAGTGACACGGGGTCTCTCCATGAGCAATACCTGCCTCCTGAGCATCCTCCAGGCCATCATCATCAGCCCCAGCACTTCCTGGTTGGCCAGGTTTAAACATAACTGCACAAAGTACATCTTCCATTCTTTTGTCATCCTTTGGTTTCTCAGTTTGTTTGTGAATAGTAACTGCCTCTTGTATACTGCTGCTTCTTTTAATGTGACCCAGAGCAACCTACTGAGTGTCAGTAAATACTGCTCACTTTCTCCCATAAACTCCGTCATCAAAGGAGTGTTTTTCACTTTTTCATTATCCAGGGATGTGTCCTTTATAGGAGTCATGCTGCTCTCAAGTGCATACATGGTAAAACTCTTGTCCAGGCATCAGAGGCGGTGCCAGTACCTTCACAGCATGCACCTCTCTTCACGGGTCTTCCCAGAGAGAAGGGCCACCCAAACCATCCTGTTGTTGGTGACTTTCTATGTGGTCATGTACTGGGTGGACATCATCATCTCGTTCTCCTCAAGTCTGTTATGGACATATGACCCCGTCATCCTGGATGTCCAGAAGCTTGTGTCCAATGTCTATGCCACTGTCAGTGCATTGGTGTTAATCCTTTAATAAAAGGATAAAAATGTGTTTCAAAAGTGTAGGGAAATTACAATTAATTTATAATCATATATTCATGAAATAATTAACCTGAAAATTGATTATTTTGCTTAACTCAAATGTCAGACTATTTATTTATGTAACATTTAAAACGTAATTTTAATTTAAGTGTAATTGGAAATTATATTTTGGGGGACCCTGGGTGGCTCAGTCAGTTGAGCATCGACTTCAGCTTAGATCATGATCTCACAGTTTGAGTTCCAGCCCCATATGGGGCTCAGCTGCTGTCAACCTGTCAGCGCAGAGCAGGCTTTGGATCCTTTGTCTGTCTCTCTTTCCCTTCCACTTGCACTCTCCCCAAAACAAATAAATATTTATTTAAAAAGGTATCGGGACTTCTGGGTGGTTCAGTCGGTTAAGTGTCTGGCTCGGTTTTGTCTCAGGTCATCATCTCATAGTTCATGGATTCCTGTTGGACTATTGATGGCAGTGCAGGGCCTGCTTAGAATTATTTTTCTCCCTCTCTCTCTCTCTGCCCCTCCCCACACTCCTGTGCTCTCTCTCTCTCAAAAAAAATAAATAAGGGACACCTGGGTGGCTCAGTCAGTTAAGCGGCCTACTTTGGCTCAGGTCATTATCTCAAGATCTGTGAGGTCAAGCCCCACATCAGGCTCTGTGCTGACAGCACAGACCCTGGGACTTGCTTTGGATTCTGTGTCTCCCTCTCTCTCTGCCCTTCTCCTGCTTGTGCTATGTGTCTCTCTCTTTCTCTCTCAAAAATAAATAAACATTAAAAAGTTAAAATAAATAAATAAGCTTTAAAAAATCAAAAAACACAGTATCTTAATTTATCTAAATATTTTTGAAACCTATGATGCAAAGACCCTCCAGTTTCTTTAGTTTAGTATTCAGGATGATTTGATATTCCTATGCATTTACAATTCCTTTCTGTTTCACTTTAATTCTCAAATTCTCTTAAGGAAAATTTGTGTTGCGGACGAAATGACACAAAGGACAAGACACACAAAAGACAGACACAGACACAACTCTGGCCAGAGGAACAATTCTACGAAAGCCTCTCTTGCGGTTTATTTTATACCCCGGTAACTGGATACAAACTGAAATCTACAAGATGCATTCCTTTACCAATTAAGGGCAAGTAGCCAAACACATTTCAAGGACAGGGGGGAGCAAAGGGAGGAAGCGACCACAACATGTTTACTAAGAGGCCTGCCCACAATTCCAGCCTTCTCCTTACTTCTAAGGAGGGCATGTTCCCTCGTTTGCGAGCGGACCATTATACTTGGATATTGTGTACAGGCCTCCTGGCAGAGCACCCTGTTTGCAGGCATGCTTTGCCCAGGCAGGGAGCCCCGTGTGCAGGCACATCCCCGCGTCCCTAACCACGCTTTCTTGTGGTCACTGTCGAGCTCCCACAACTTGTCTTTATACAAGAAAATTATACTCTAAAGGACTATTGTGCATTATTGCAATGTTAGTGTGACCTATTGGTAATGCAATATTTTTAAACTTAAATTTGCTCTTATTCAAAATGGAGGAGGGCACTTGTGGGGATGAGCATTGGGTGTTATATGGAAACTAACTTGACAATAAACTATTTAAAAAAAGAATTAAAGCATAATAAAAAAAAAGATATTTAGCCATGTATCCAATCTGACTTAAGCAACAATTTCTCTCTGTACTCTTTATATTTACTTCTTTGTGTTCTTGCTTCTATTAAGGCTTCAGAGATTTTTGTTGTTGCCTTTCGTAGGTTTTCTCTATTTTATCTTTCATTACTTTTAAACATTTCCCCTTTTTCTCAGTGCTTTTATTTTTTCCCTTTTCCTGTATAAAGTTTTTATTTAAATTTTAGTTAGTTAACATACAGTGTGATAGTAGTTTCAGAAGTACAATCCAGTGATTCAACAGTTCCATACACCACGCCATGTTCCTTGAGACAAGTACACTCCTTAATCCTCACCACATTTTTAACCATCATCCACCCATCTCCCCTCTGGGAACCATCAGTGTGTTCTTTATACTTAAGAGTCTGTTGGTTTGCCTCTCTCTCTCATTTATCCCCTTTGTTTTTTGTTGTTGTTGTTTCTTAAATTCCACATATGGATGAAATCATATATTAGTTATCTTTGTCTGACTGACTTATTCTGCTTAGCATTCTTCTCTAGCTCCATCCATGTTCTTGCAAATATCAAGAGTAAATGTTTCTGATGGCTGAATAACATTCCATCTATACATATATACTACTTCTTACTTATCCATTCAACAGCTGATAGCCACTTGGCCTGTTTCCATAGTTTGGTTATTATAGATAATGCTGCTATAAACATCAGGGCGCAGGAATCCCTTTCAGTAAGTATTTTTTATCCTTGTATATTTACTTTTCTTGTGTGTTACACAGTTTGATTAACATTTTGGATACTTTTAATACATTTTTGTTACAATGCATTTCTGATTTATAACATCCTTATCTAACTTTGAAATTAGAAATTTATTAATCATTTCTTTAATTTTATTTTCTTATTTTTGTATACTCTAGAGAAACAAACAATTTTTTTCTTCTCATTTTGGTCTTCATACATCTGTAGGGACAAGTGCATTTCTCATTAAAGTCTTGTCTTTAATGTCTTTGATTGCAATATTTCTCTTCAAGATTCTAGTTTGTTATGTCTTTCATCAGCTCAGACTCATTTTTAATTTTTTTAAATTTAGTTACTTAAATTGAAGTTAGTTAACATACAGTGTAGCATTAGTTTCAGGAGCAGAACCCAGTGATTCATCATTTACATACAACACTCAGTGTTCATCACAAGTGCCCTCCTTAATGCCTATCAACCATCTATTCCATCCCCCATGCACCTCCTCTCCAACAACCCTCAGTTTGTTTTCTGTGTTTAAGAATCTATTATGGTTTGCCTCCCTTTCTGTTTTGTTTTTTTTTATCTTATTTTTTTCCCCTTTCTTCCTGTTTGGTTTCTTATCTTCCACAAATGAGTGAAATCAAATGATATATGTCTTCCTCTGCCTGACTTATTTCGCTTAATATAATACCCTCTACTTCCATCTACATTGTTGCAAATGGCAAGATTTTATTCTTTCTGATCATCAAGTAATGTTCCATTGAATACATATACACATCTCTTTATTCATTCATCAATCTATGGACATTTGGGCTCTTTCCATAATTTGTCTTTGTTGATGCACTGCTGTCTGAGGACATTTGGGTACATGTACCATTTCAAATCAGTATATTTGTATACTTCTTATAAATACCTACTAGTGCAATTGCTCTGTCATAGGACACTTCTGTTTTTGGCGGAATCTCCATACTGTTTTCCAGTGTCTGCACCAATTTGCAATCCCAATAACAGTGAAGAAGTTCCCCCTTTCTCCATATACTTCTCAATACCTGTTGTTTCTTCTGTAGTTGATTTTCATCATTCTGACAGGTATGAGGTGATATCTCATCATAGTTTATGTTTGCATTTTGCTGATAATCATTGAACATCTTTCATGTGTCTGTTGCACATCTGTATGTCCATTACTACGGTTATTTGTTGTATTTTTTCTCTTTTATTTATCAATTCTGTTTTTGAACCTTCTCTCACTCTCTCTTTTTCTCCCCCCTCCCACCTTAATGGAGTTAAAGCATTGTCACTTTCTTGTTTTGAAAAACATGTCAGTACATTCAATGTTATGTTACCATTTATTCTGGTCTCTATATTATTTATTCTGGTTTTCCTTTGTTATCTCCTTCCTCTGCTAAATAAAGTCTTTATTTTAATGTCTAGTTTCTCAAAAATAAGTATTGCTACTCCAGCTTTCTTTTTTTTATACAATTCATTGTCAAAAGGCTTCCTACAACATCCAGTGCTTATCCCAACAAGTGCCCTCCTCAATCCTCATCACCCACCTCCCCCTCTCCACCACCCCCGATCAACTTTCAGTATGTTCCCAGATTTCAAGGGTCTCCCATATTTGCCTCCTTCCCTCTCTGTAACTTCCCCCCCCCTCCTTCCCTATGGTCTTCTGTTAACTTTATTTTTTTTTAATATGTATTTATTTTTGAGAGACAGAGAGACAGAGCATGAGCAGGGGAGGGACAGAGAGAGAGGGAGACACAGAATCTGAAGCAGGCTCCAGGCTCTGAGCTGTCAGCACAGAGCCTGATGCAGGACTTGAGCTCACAAAGCATGAGATCATGACATGAGCCGAAGTCAGCCGCTTAACCAACTGAGCCACCCAGGTGCCCCTCTGTTAACTTTCTCAAGATCCAAATATGAGTGAAAACATATGATATTTGTCCTTCTCTGCCTGACTTATTTCACTCAGCATAACACCCTCAAGTTCCATCCATGTTGCTACACATGGCCAGATTTCATTCTTTCTCATTGCCGTATAGTATTAACTCCATTGTGTAGATAAACCACATCTTCTTGATCCATTCGTCAGTTGATGGACACTTAGGTTCTTTCCATGTTCTGGCTATTGTTGAGAGTGCTGCTATGAACGTTGGGGTACATGTGCCCTTATGCATCAGCACTCCTGTATCCCTTGAGTAAATTCCTAGCACTGCTACTGCTGGGTCATAGGGGAGCTCTATTGTGAATTTTTTGAGGAATCTCCACAGTGTTTTCCAGAGCGGCTTCACCAGTTTGCATTCCCACCAACAGTGTAAGAGGGTGCCTGTTCCTACATATCCTCGCCAGCATCTATAGTCTCTTGATTTGTTCATTTTAGTCACTCTGACCACTGTGAGGTGGTATCTCAGTGTAGTTTTAATTTCTATTTTCCCGATGATGAGTGACGTTGAGCACTGTTTCATGTGTCTGTTGGCCATCTGGATATCTTCTTTGGAGAAGTGTCTATTCATGTCTTCTGCCTATTTCTTCACAGGATGATATGTTTTTCGGGTGTGGAGTTTTCATGAGTTCCTTATAGATTTTGGACACTACCTCTTAATCTGATATGTCATTTGCAGCTATCTTTTTCCATTCCATCATTTGCCTTTAGTTTTGTTGATTACTTCCTTTGCCGTATAGAAG